TTGTAAGGTGGAGTTTACGGTTTCTGAAGACTCGATGAGTTTACGGCCGTAAACTCAAGAACAGAGTTTACGGTTCTTGAAGGTTGGACCGTAAACTCAAGAACAGGGTTTACGGTTCTTGAAGGTTGGACCGTAAACTCAAGAACAAGGTTTACGGTTCTTGAAGGTGGACCGTAAACTCGAAAAACACGTTGCTGATTGCTGATCTCGAAGAGATAATCGTTTCTAGGCGTTCCCAAGTGACTCCAAACGTGGTTTCTCGATGATTTCCGGAGTTTGAAGGCGTTTTGAGTGTTTACGGTTAAGATTCTTAGAGAGAGAAGGAGAGAGTTTTTGGCCATAAATGTTCTAATGAAGGTGGAGGCATCGTATTTATAGGGGTGTTGTGGGGGGTCCACTCGTCACTGACCGTAAACAGGTTTACGGTCGTAAACGAGTTTACGGCCGTAAACACGTTTACGGTCGCATTCTCACTTAGACCGTAAATGATTGATTTTTCGAGATATTCGGGTATTCCGCGCGATTTATGGTTCCAACTCGTAAATAATTTAATTAAATATAACTAGATTATTTTCTAAACCAAAAAGTTTGACGGAAAAGTTAACAAATTCGAAATTTTATTAACGAAACTCGCGTAACGGAAACGGACAAAGTTTCAGGTTGTCACATCGATCCTTGGATAAAGGCTTGGTGAAAATATCCGTTAGTTGGTCAACAGAAGAAATGTAACAGATCTTGAGGGCACCGGTCTCGACTTGCTCGCGGATAAAGTGGAAATCTAAAGCAATGTGCTTTGAACGAGTGCTAATGACAGGATTTTTGCTCATGAAAATGGCACCAACATTGTCACAAAGAAGTAGTGATTGTTTTGTTATAGGCACATGTAATTCCTGAATCAACTGTTGTAACCATAAAAGCTCCGTTGTGGTGTAGGCTAATGAACGATATTCTGCTTCAGTACTTGAACGTGCCACGACCCGTTGCTTCCTAGAAGTCCAACTGATCAGATTAGGGCCATGAAAAATGGCATAACCATATTAAGAACGACTATCCTCTTGATTTGAGATCCACCCAGCATTAGAGTAAGCGAGAAGACAATTTGCAGTAGTGGTCTTTAATTGTAGACCATGATGAGATGTGCCCTTTAAGTACCTGAGGATGCGTTTGGTAGCCTGCCAATGATGGGTGGTTGGAGAGTGCATAAACTAACATACACGGTTCACTGCATAAGCTATATCGGGACGTGTAATGGTGACATATTGAAGAGATCCTACTATTTGGCGAAAGAATGTGGGATCATGAAACGGTTCACCATCATATGTAAGGCGAGAATTAGGATCAGCAGGTGTGGAGAGGGGTGTGGAATCTTGCATCTTGCTTTTGTGAAGTATATCATTAATATAGGACTGTTGAGATAGAGCAAGTCCAGTAGAGGTGGTGGTGATTTGTAGACCCAAAAAATGATGTAGTGGTCCAAGGTCTTTTAAAGCAAAGACTTTATTGAGTTCATGGATGAATCTTTGAACCTGAGCTTCATTATTTCCTGTGATTATGACATCATCAACGTATACAAGAAGATAAATGATATAATTTGAGTGAATGTGAACAAAGAGTGAAGTGTCAGATAGACACGCGCGAAATCCTTGATCAACCAGGTAATGTTTGAGTTTGTTAAACCAGGCTCTAGGAGCCTGTTTGAGGCCGTAGAGGGCTTTGTGGAGACGGCACATGTGAGTTGGGCGAGAGGGGTCTTCAAAACCACGAGGTTGTCTCATATACATCACTTCTTTAAGGTCACCATTTAGGAATGCGTTGTTGATGTCAAGCTGCCGAATACACCAACCACGAGAGAGTGCAATGGGCAGGACTAGCCTTATTGTAGTTGGCTTTATGACGGGGCTGAATGTGTCAAAATAGTCGATATTTGCCTCTTGACTGAAGCCTTGAGCCACCAATCGAGCTTTATAACGCTCAATTTTTCCATCAACACGTCTTTTAATCCTGTATATCCACTTACAGCCAACAACATTCACATTAGTAGGACAAGAAACAATAGACCATGTGTTATTTCGGATGAGAGCATCATATTCATTTTGCATTGCTTGCTGCCAACAGGGGTGTTTAGTAGCTTGTTGAAAAGTGTGTGGTTCAAAGTCAGATGGAGTAGAGACAGAGGTCTGGAAAACCTTTGATTTTAGAGAGTTAGTGTGAGCGTGAGTGACCATTGTATGAGTATTTTGAGGGGCAACACGATAATGGGAGGTAGATGGCTGATTTTGTTTGGCTCGAGAGCTGATGGTTGACTGTTGATGCAGTGGGGTGGTAGTAGTGGAGGGAAGTGGAGTTTGAGAGGTAGGTGAGGTGGAAGAAGAGGAAGGAGATGATGAAGGAGGAAGAGATTGAGGAGGAGTAGATGGTGGTGGTAAAGATGAGAGTGTAGCTGCTTGAGAAAGTAAAGTAGCAGAAACATCAGAGGATGAGGTAGAGTTACCTGAGCTGATATTTGAAGAGGGTGGCAAATATGGGAATATTTCTTCATTGAAAACCACATGGTGGGATACGTAAATGCGGGAATACGGTTGATGAAAGCATAGATAGCCTTTGTGTGTTGTGTTGTAACTGATAAAGATGCAAGGGAGAGAACGGAAATCAAGTTTATGATTATTATAGGGGCGAAGAAACGGATAGCACAAGCAACCGAATGATTTGAGAAAGGTGTAATCTGGAGTTTTGTTGTAAAGTAGTTGGTATGGTGATTTTAAGTCAAGATTGGGAGTGATTATTCGGTTGTGGAGGTAAGTGGCGGTCTTAAAAGCATGCTCCCAAAAGACTTGAGGAAGGGATGATTGTGCTAAGAGGATAAGACCCTTTTCAACAATTATTCGATTGCGTCGTTCCACGGCACCGTTTTGTTCCTGTGTATACGGACACGAGACTCGGTGTTGAATGCCATGGGTATGAAGAAATGTGGAAACATTACGATACTCTCCACCCCAGTCGGATTGGAGTGCCTTAATGTCACGATTAAATTGAGTCTTAATCATCTGTTTAAAATGAACAAACATGGAAAAAACCTGAGATTTTTGGGACATGAAATAAATCCAGACAAATTTAGTGCAATCATCCACAAAAATCAGAAAGTAACGATTTCCATTAAGTGAGTACAACGGGGAGGGCCCCCAAACATCTGAGTACAGTAAATCAAAATGTGATTGAGAACTAATATGAGAAGGTGGTAGATGGAGTCTATGACTTTTTCCCAATTGGCACGAATCACACACAGTTGGGAACTTATTGGAGGAAACAGGAAGCTGGAATGAAGAGATTATGCGTCTGAGAAGAGGCTCGTGAGGGTGAGCAAGTCGTCGATGCCAGCCATGAACAGATGTGCGGACACAGGTTAGAGCCATCTTGGAGGACTTTTTATTTGTGATGTTTGGAAGCCGATATAAGCCTTGATTAACGTCCCCCTGAAGTAGAGTTTTTCCCTGAAATGTCTTAATAGAACAGTGAGTGGGCCAGAGTTCCATGTAAACGTTATTATCGGCAGTTAATTTTGAGATGCTAAGTAAATTTTTGGTGAGATTAGGAACTACTAAAATAGATGGCAAGCGAAGACCATGCAATGAATTGAAACCCACATGTGAAATAGACAGATGATTACCATTTCCGACCCTTATCTTGTCGTCACCGGTGTATTCCTCAGCAATGTGAAGCTTGCGAATGTCTGGAGTGACATGATCTGTTGCTCCGGAATCCAAGTACCATGCGGGATCCATGACCGTAGAAGATGTAGCGGCTTGAGCGACATTGGCTTGTCCGGTAGGATCTCGTGGATTGAGGCGGCGAGAGGGATAATCAGTTTGATTATTCTGTTGCCAACAATCGATAGCCTCATGTCCAGGGCGACTGCACAATTGACACATGGGACGACGTCTTCGATTTTCGTTGCTGCGATTTGAGGAGCCGTTGTGAGGACTGCCAAAATTGGTGGAGGAATGTGGAGATGAACGATGGGTGGCATAAGCAGAAGAACCGGAGACGGGTCGAACAGGGGTAGTGGTTGGTGTTAGGGTGGGAACATGACGATGATGTTCCTGTTCCAATCGAGCCTCCTCTTGAAGAAGAAACCCAGCAAGATCATCAACAGTGGATAGATCAGACTTGAGCATAAAAGCGGTAGTAAAGGCAGCATAAGACAAGTCAAGTCCAGTGAGTATGTGGCTGATTAAGTCTTCCTCTGGAATTGGGGTTTGATTTTCAGCTAAGGAATCTGCAATTGACCGTTTGCGTTCAATATACTCGATCATTGATAGTGAGCCCTTTGTAAGCGACTGGAGCTGGACCTTCATTGCCATGCGACGGGCCCGATTTTGAGAGTGAAAGGTCTTGTCAAGTTTGTTCCAGGCCTGGTGAGACGAGGAGCACATCACAACTAGGGCAAGAGCCCGTTCAGACAGAGTGGACTTAATCCAAAGCAGCACAAAGCGATCGCGCTTCTTCCAGGTGATGTAGTCGGGATTGGGTTGAGGGCGAGGTTCAATTTCTGTGTCAGCATCATTGATGGTGGGAAGAACAGTTTCAGGTGGAAGAGGGGGATGTAGGATGAAGGATTCGAGATCAAAAGTCTCGAGAGTAGAGATGATTGTAGAGCGCCACAGTAGGTAGTTATCCCGATCGAGTTTGACAGTGATATTGGGAATTTGAAGGTTTAGAGAGGAGGCGGTGGCATGATCCAGAAGCGATGAACTAGAATTGGCCATAGAGAAGACAGCAACAAGAAAAAAAACCAATTAAGAGGCTCTGGATACCGTGTAAAGTAGGAACTGTTGTGTATTTGTATTGCTATCTTGTGTACAAGAACATAGAGATACATTGTATTTATACAGGAAGATAAAAGTAAGGAGCCCCACATGTACGGAGCTAACTAACGAAATACAAAGGACCAGGAAAAACTAATTGACTAATTCCAACAGGTGTTGAACACGTGCACATTCTTATTAGATGGTAGTGTGAAGTTCTACCAAATTACTACATTCTTTAAGATGTAACGTCTTGAGATTTGGAGTCAACCCAAGGTTAAGGATCCTCAAGTTTGAATAACTAATTTCTATATTGGTGAGCTTTTCACATTCATCGGCCATGTGAAGTTCTTCCAAAAAATAACAACTATCAAGATCTAAATTCTCGAGATTCGGAATCATCACAAGGTCAAGGGTCCTCAACTTTGAATGATTAATGTCGAGCTTGGTCAGCTTTAGACATTCACCAGCCATGTGAAAATCTTCCAAATAGAAACAATTTTTAAGATCTAAAGACTCAAGATTTGGAGTCAGCCCAATGTTAAGGGTATTCAACTTGGAATCAGAGAGTAGTAAGGACCTGAGATTTAAACATCTATCGGGCATGTGAAGTTCTACCAAATTACAACATTCAGCAAGAATCACAGTCTTGAGATTTGGAGCCAAACCAAGGTCAAGGGTCCTCAAATTTGAATGTATGAGGTTGATGTAGATGAGATGTAAGCATCTAATGGGCATGTGAAGTTCTACCAAATCAGAACATTGTTTAAGAGTCAAGGTTTCAAGATTTGGGGTAAGCCCAAGGTCAAAGGTACTCAACTTTGAAAAACTGAGGTCAAGGAATCTCATCTTGTTAAGAACCTAACATAAGCAAAAAGCAATATGAATATTGGTGTAATAACGAAGCAATGGATGTACAACATTATAATGAATCATGTAAAATAATCAATCAACAAAATTCTACCTTTCTTTCCCCCTTTTCCCAAAGTTGAACGATGTGACTGTATGTCATCTCAAGTGCAACAAGATTATTTGCTTGGAATGTTTTGGGTAAAGACCTAAAAGGGTAATTTTCCACTTGCAGATATTGTAAAGCATTTGGAAAGTCTTGATTTACTATATTAAATTCCGAAAAAGGGGAAAGTGTGAGAACTAGTGAAAGAAACCTAAGTTTCTTCATCTTTCCAAGACCTTTTATACCAATCTCCGGATTGAGTTCCATGTTGCATCATATACATCTTGTTGCTTTAGTACCCTGTAATCTAAAACAAGTCACCATGAAACTTAAGTCATAACAAATAAACTTATCCCTTAGTCCTTACCAAATCATTAGTCAATATCTCTTTAATTTCGTTGTCAATCCACAATCGGCTATGTTTGTGAGGCTTATCTGGGTGTGACCGACGAACAATATTCCTACCCATTTCTATAAATATGGTGATGCATTTGCACATGCTCAAGATAACTATAGATATTTATGAGAGATTTTTGTTGAAGAACTCTTAAACCATTTCTACCACGAAAACCGCAACTTTCAAGAGCTTTGATTGCCTTCTCTTTCGGCCAACCTTTTAGTATGCATGCAACATCTAGGAATATTTCTTTGTAATCCTCCTCTAGACATGTATAGCTTAATTCCAATTTTTTCAAAGTTTCTGTTTCTGGAATCGTTTTAAGTCTTTCTAGGGCATCTATCCATTCAAGCTCATTTTTACCACAAAGAAATGAGCCCAAAACTCTGATAGTTAATGGAAGACCAGCAACATAACGTACAACTTGTCTGGATAGCTCTTCATACCCTTGAATTGGAATATCTCTCCCAAATGCATACCTACTGAAGAGGCAAATTGCTTCGTTATTTGATAATAGATTTACATCATAAATCAACTTCACTCGGTGTGCTACTAGCACATGCTCATCTCTTGTTGTAATGATAATCCTACTTCATGGCTTAAACCAATCAGGTTCACCGGCTAACGCCTCAAGTTGGTCTATATGATCCACATCATCTAAAACAATAAGCACCTTTTTATCACGCATCCTCCTCTTCATCAGGTGTTTCCCATCATAAACACTACTTACTTTGATGTCTTTATCATTTAAAACATCAGAAAGGACTTGATTTTGCAAAGACTTCAAACCGAACAAAGATGCGTTTGAAACTTCCCTAACATTCTCAACGAAGCTTTTACCATCAAATTGACAGAAGATTTGATCAAAAACAGCTCTTGCCAAAGTTGTCTTCCCACCACCTCCCATCCCCTTGATCCCCATCATACGAACATCCTCAAAATCAGTTCCTAAAGCTGATACAACATCCTTGACCCGGTTCTTCATTCCTACTAATTTTTCATCAATGTTGAAACTGATGGATCGTAGCTCTAATGAAAGCTCTTCAACAATTTTTTGGATGAATTCAGCTTCATGCCTGTATTTCAAAGAGATTCAATTAGCTTGCTCAAAATCCCTGTAACATTCAACCGTACATGAAAAATAACATAGTCCCTATAATCATATTCCATATTTAATTTTTAGACAAGACTCAGAAATTGAGTCCAAATATGACAATCTAAGATTTCAAGTAGGAGCATTTGACATCCAGGGTAAATGTAAACCATAAATAAACAAGATACAAGATTATTGGAAAGATTTGATGAAGGAAATACCCGTTAGCGGTGTTCTTCAACTCCCACCCAGCCAGATCCGCTGCATCTTTCAAAGCCTCTCTCCATTTCCAAGCAGCCTCTTCCTTTTCATGTTTAGCAAATGCTTCCGCTACTGCCCCGCTTTGTTTGCGGACTTCAGACGGCTCTACGTCATAGAAGACGGGATAGGCGGTATGCTCGATGGTGCTGTGACATTCCATTATCTTCAAAAGTTCATCCAAGCACCAAGAAGAAGATGCATAGTTCTTGGAGAAAACAATGATGTAGAACTTTGAATCTTTAATGGATCCGATGAGCTCATCACTTATTCTTTTCCCTTTCTTGATTCTCACGTCGTCCCTGTATGTGTGAATACTTTTCTGCTGAAGAGCATGATAAAGATGATCAACGAAGTTAGTACAAGTATCTTCACCTCTGAAACTCAGAAACACATCATACTTGAAGCTCTTCTGAATGGATGAAGTTGAAGAACAAGCCATCGAAGGTACGATTTATATAATATCAAATCGTTTTATGCGAAACGATTGCAAACAAACTAGATGAATCGGATAACCCTCGGTGCCTTCAGAACAATGGATCTAGCACTGGTTGTGTCAACGTGATGAATTTGTGTGGAAAAGCTATCGAATTCTGCGGCGTGTTTGGTCCAAACTCCAAAAAGACTAAAGTACATAATTTTACATATTTTGTGTTATTTCTAATCAACAATAAATTATATTTTTTCAAAAAAAAATTTATATTTGGTATTTTTTTAGACCTAAAATAAATTTTCAACATAAAACTCAATTTTAATATATTTATTGTTTATTATTATTTTATTAATAAAGTTGGTTACAACAAATAATCATATATTCTTCTAACTCATGTGTGCCTTAAGCATCGAATCACTGAAAAAAAAATGATTCTAAAACACTAGATCATATTTATGCTCTTTTTTTTTAGTACATCATACTATTTTCTTCAAGCTAAGAACAAAACCTAGTAAGAAATGCTAAAACAAACTTTATTACTGTGATGATGAAGTTCATCTATTTACCTTCTATTTAAAGTTATTTTCACAAAAATGAATATGTTTTCAAAATTGTCTTAATGTTATTTTCTCAAGATTTGATGGTATGTTTTTTTATCTTTAAACTTATGTTTCTCAAGTATTTATCAATGTTTTAGGATGAGTATTAAACTTATTCTGCACATTATGTATAAAGGATTTTAGACATTAACTGTTTTTTTATCTTTGTAACCTCCAACATAAAGTCAATGCCTGAGATCCTCACACATACAGTGTCAAAGAGATGTGATTTCATGTTTGAGGTTACAAATGTAAAAAATAGCTAATATCTGACATCCTTCATCCGTACAGTGTCGAATAAATTTAGCACTCATTGTATAAAATTGATAGATAGTTGAGATAAAACATGTATAAAGGTAAAAAGTAACAACTTACTTGTCGAACAGTCCCAATACATTGTTAAAATAAACATATTATCAAACCTTGTAAAGATAGCATTGGGACAACATTTGAAAACAAACTCAATATTGTGAAAACAACCTTGGGACATAAGGATATAGGATCACCTAGGGTTTTAAAATTGGGCATAGGACCCAATATGGTGTATAAAAGAAGCAAAAAAATAACCTAGGGTTTAGAAGCGGATATTTCTTTAAGTGATCAATGCTTAGAGCGCACGTGAGTTAGGAGGATATAAAGTTACCTAGGGATTTAGAATCAAATATAGGGCCTAATACGGTATACAGCATGAAGAAACATAAATGTGACATAGGTTTCAAGAACTAGTTTTATTCTTAAAACTCTTTTATGTGGTTGGTCGCACATGAGTTAGGGATATATAGGGTTACATGTTGGTAGTCGAATACTTTAATGAAATAACAAGGAATAGGTTAAAGTTATGTTTATTTTGAAAAAAAAATAGGTCTAAACGGAAAATATAAATACAAAATGTAAGGTCTTTTATGAAAAAAAAACAATTGACTTGTTGGTCACCGACATGTAAAAATAAAACTCATAAAAAGAACAAAAATTAAAACTGAAACTAACAGTGACAATACCACGACGTGTGTAACACCCATAAAAATCATGTCAAATTTAAACTTTTTAAAACATTTAAAAACCAACAGTCATTACAAATTTGTTTTCAAAATAGTCTACATCAGAGTCTCCCAGAAACAAAGTCATAAAAAGTGAGGAGCGGTAGGATCACGCATTTGTCTTGTCACGGTCCCCTGATGTACCTGAAACAATAAACTGAACTGTAAGCCTGAGAGCTTAGTGAGTTTCCCCCAAAATACCCATACACACAATAATACACATATAATCATAAAACAGCATACTATGGGTCCAGTCAACCATCAGGTTGGAATACCCCAGGCCCTCAATCGTCCGGTTGGAATGCCAACATATTATGGGTCCAATCATCCTCAGGATGGAATCCCCCAGGCCCACAACCAACAGGTTGGAATGCCCACATACTATGAGTTCAATCATCCTCGGGATGGAATACTCACGGCCCACAACCAACAGGTTGGAATGCCCAGGTCTATTGGCTTTCGTACAAAGCAGATAAGGCTCAACCGCCAACAACATGTGCACATATAACAAATAATCATATAACAGTCTATAGATAGACAAACTGACCTAACAGATCATAATAGCATATCACATCCTATCGATCAGCATACTGATCTAACGGATCATATCATCATGTAACATCCTATCTACCAAGATATTGATCTAACGGATCATAACGACATATAACATCCCATCTACCAGGATACCGATCTAACAGATCATACTAGCATAACATATCAGGATAACAATCCAAAAAGGGCCGGCCTTGGTGCCTTAGACCCTTGAGTATAGTGAGGAAAACTCACCTCGCAACTATCGACTCGAAAGATAAGCTCAAACTCTCGGATCACCGCCACAAACTCCACCACCTATATTCACCATAGAACCATACTCATAAATTTTCAATTTCCCAAAATGCCCCAGAATTCAATTAGTCAACCCTTGGTCAAAGTCAAAGTCAACGATCAAGGTCAACAATCCATGTTGACCCAACTCGTCGAGTGCAGTCACTGACTCGTCGAGTCCTTCCAGAACTCGAGTAGTCATGAAATCCCCCCACTGACTCATCGAGTTTCCCTGTAACTCGCCGAGTTCATGCGTGTCCAAATGTCGGGGAAAACCCTAGTTGACTCGCCGAGTCACCCCACTGACTCGTCGAGTCCATGCAGAAGTCCTTGCACGACAATCTTCATCGGACTCGCCGAGTTGGCCATGCAACTCGTCGAGTCCCTTCAGTCCATTATCCATTCAGATGCTTTTTAAGCCATTTTAAGGTTCCATATTGCAGATCCAGCTTCCCAAGGCATGTTTATCACGTAAAGTTGCAAACTTTAGGTGCATGCAAGACTCTAAAGACTTATAATGCCAAAACCAAGCTTGTAATGGAGTTTTACACCTAAGGAGAGGTTCATACTTGCTAAAGCTGGAAGCTTTATGGACTTAGAGACCAAAGAGAGTTCAAATCTGAAGTTGCAACTTCAGATCTTAGTCCATACCTAAGAATAGTGTCACACCCCCGAACCAGACGGTAGAAAACGTCCAGGGGCTTGTGCGTGACTTCATCTTGTAATATCATCACAATATATATAATTGAAACAAGATAACGCCATCATCATACATATCAAAATACAACCAACATTATTTACATCAAGTATAGTATCATAAGTTACATGCCAACATATTCAATGTATGATGATAACAAAATAAGACAATTCCACATGTTCTTGTAAACCTTTCCGCTTAACGATTCCCTGAGAATATAAGTTATTTTGAAAATGTCAACATATATAATGTTGGTGAGTTCATAAGCATGTTTGAAGAAAAGTTTTGTATTGTTCGTGAAACACCAGAAAATCCAATATTTTCTATAAAATGGTTTGAAAATGATGTATCAAAATCAAGTATTAATGCATGTGTGTTTTCTGTTTTTGAAATGTATTTAAGAATGTAATCCGGATAGAAACCCTGTGTTTCTGTTGTAAGTAGAAGGTATTGTTAAACTGTATATTTCCCCAGAAAATCCTATATTTTCTGTTTACAAAAGCGTCGTGGTCTCAAACCCTAAGACCGAATATTAGTGTATATATGTTTTTGTATTAACAAGATTCTTTATGTATTCCGTAAAATTTATGATGGAGAGAATCTCTATGTGAGTCGTTTTAACCATATTTGACTATGACGAATTCGCTTGTCGTGGCGTTTTTAGGCGCCGACTTGTTTAAGGTAAGGTTTGTCACCCTAGACTGGCCTAGTCTAACTGTAGCGAACAGCTCAGGTGTGGGGTGTCACCTCGTATAGATCTATACACAAACTCTCGCTCTCCCTCCAGGAGACTTTGGTTATAACTACATGCTACGATTGTACACTCGAGAGGTGTCAACTGACATGTCTCACTAGCATCCTTAACTGAGTTTACGCGAATATTGTATTATATTGTATAATGTTTCCATGTGCGTTTTATGTTTGAAAAGCCCAATGAGTATATATATATATATATATATATATATATATATATATATATATATATATATATATATATATATATATATATATATATGAATGTACGAGGCCCAACAGACATGTAGAAGGACCACTAAGGCCCAAATAAACATGTATTGCATAGACTAGTCCCACTAAGCATGTAAATGGGCCCCTAAGGCCCAATAAAAATGTAATGTATAATCCAGGCCAAATAAGCATGTAAATGGGCCACTAAGGCCCAATAACATGGATTATACGTATTAGGTCCAATAAACATGAATATTTACGTCTTTAGTCCAATTGTATATAAATTAACATTTTTGGCCTAAGTATATATATATATATATATATATATATTATATATATATATATATATATATATATATATATGTATATAAGTTGATGTTTTCGGCCCATTATTATAAAATTTTACATTTTCGGCCTAATTATATATATAATTTACATTTTCATCCCAATTTAGATAAAATTACATTTTCGGCCTATTTATATCTATAATTTACATTTTCAGCCCATTTTAGATAAAAATGGCATTTTTGGCCCAATTTTTGTAAAATAACATTTTTAGGCCAAAAGACATTTTCAGCCCATAAAACCGTGAATGTGCATTTAATCCACAAAAGTCATAATTTTTCCAATTTTGGCCCATAAAACCATGAAGGCCCAATTTAAGCCCATTTTGTGAAAAAATTACTCTTTTGGCCCTTTTTAAAACCCTAATGTCATATACAAAAATGACTCCTTGGTCATTGAAAAACCGTAAGTATCTTAAAAGCGTCATCCTTTTTTTGTTTATTTGTCAAAAATGGTCCCTTTACAAGATTTTGTTTAGTTTTTCAACATCTTTAACATGTATAATACTATCATCTTCAAGGTAAGTTATATAAAGTGGTT